TACAGTTGTGCTGTAACTTCATTCTGCATCAATCTGTTGTACCAAGATTTTACTGTAAACAAACTTTTTTTAGTGATATTCCACCAAGGCTTATCCTCATTATCGCCCAAATTAATTCCAGATAAGACCTTCATCAAGTTTTCATACTCCGACAGCTCCCAATCATTTAAATTACGGGTCACCACCACCTGCCATGTTCCCACATCAATCTGATTTCTCGTAAAACAATCAGAAACACGGGCTGCCTTGTTGGTAATTGCATAGATAGTGGGAAATCTATCTTTAAGCAGACCCCCTTCCAACCATTGGTCATTCCCGAAACTGATCCTATTTCCACAACCCACCTTCCAATTAATTTGATTCAGCGAGTTTGCTTGGGAGGACCACATTCTTATTTATTGACTGTGAGAATCATGCTTTAAAGTAAGTCAAGAGTGTGTACAAATATACCCCTTCTAAGAGCATGGGGTGTATTTAATACTTGTGTTCCTATTGGGAGCATATACAAGCTACTTGTGTTCCTATTAGGGACTTTAAACCTATTAGCCTAATTGGGAGCATATACAAACTCCTATCTAAAGTTCTTTTGCTAGGAGATTGTCTAAAGTGCTTGGCAAAGTTAATGGGGAATGTCAATACACTTTCGTCGAAGGACGACAGATTTTAGATGCTGCTTTGACAGCGAATGAAGTGGTTGATGAGTTGGTTTCGGGGGGTAAGGATGGTTTAATTTGCAAACTTGATACGGAGAAGGCATGTGATCACGTTAATTGAGATTTTGTTGATTATATGTTGAAGAGATTGGGTTTTGCTCGAAAATGGAGAGAATGGATGATGTTCTGCATTTCTACAACCTCATTCATGGTTATGGCAAATGGTGGTCCCTCAATATTCTTCAAAGCCACTAGAGGATTAAGGCAAGGGGACCCATTATCCCCCTTTGCTCTTCATTATTGTAATTGAAGCATTTAATGGTTTACTAACCAAGGCTTTGGAGCTTCAACTAATTAGAGGTGTAAAGGTGGGGCAGTGGTGATAATTCCACTGTGGTTTCTCACTTATTTTTTGCCGATGATACACTTATTTTCTGTCAACTGGAAGTTGGGATTTTAAGGCATTTAAGCTGCACCCTACTATTCTTTCAGGCTGTATCGAGGCTTAACATCAACTTGTGTAAATCGGAAATGGTGAGATTGGGTAATAGAATCGATGAGACTAGGCTGTCTAAGGTTTTGGGCTGCAAGCCGGTTAACCTTCCGATAAAATATCTGGGCCTTTCCCTAGGGGCCAAGTAAGGATATGAAAATTTGGGAGCCGGTCATTGAAACTTTTGAAAGAAGATTAGCAAGATGGAAAAAGAATTTTTTATCCAAAGGTGGTAGGTACACTCTCATCCGAAGTACCCTAACAAATCTCTCAATCTATTACTTATCCACCATCACAATACCAATTAAAATTGCTAAAAGGCTAGAGACCATCCAGTGTAGATTTTTGCGTGGTGATGAGGAAGGTAACAAAAAAAATATCACTTGCTTAATTGGGCTGAAGTTAAAAACCCTGTCCCAATCTATTTTCAATGTATTCAGTACTTATAAATAGGGAACCCTAACATAATTAGTTGATAGACTAATCATATGGTTATTATACAAACATTGAGTTATTGACTTTATTATAGGAATTGAGATCTACAATTTTGGCTTTTATAAATTTTCTCTAAATATGTGTTCGAGCTCTTCTTTTCCTATATCAATTGGTATAAGAGTCTAACTTCAATTTTTTTCACAGTACCATAATTCTTCATCCAAACTTCAAAACCTACTGCCAGGAAAGGAAAAACAGTAGCCTTGAAGACCGCCAGCTACAAGCATCGCTGGCTGCACTGGAAGGTAGGCATAACTGCTAAGGGCCAACCATACAAGAGGCAACCGACCGCCCTACCCTACCAATTTTCAGCTCTTAACTTCAACGGAAACAACAAGATTGGCCAGCAACACATTGAACCCTGCTGCCTTGGTGCAACTCAAGCTTTCCCAGCCCACCTTAGGACAACCCACACAAACCCCAAATCTGGGATCTCCATCAATGGACATCTCATATCCAGAAAATGCCAGACGATTGCTGAAAAGGTGTGCATGGATCTCATGTACCGGAGCACCAGTGAAACTTTCGTAAGCTGTTTCTGGAGCCGGCCACCACCTGAGTCAATCTGTTTCTGGAGGTAAGCAATATCTTTTCAGTGATTCATTATTGAGCTGAGCTGTTTCAAGCCAAAACTGAGCCAAAACTCAATTTCTTTGGTAATTTTCGAACTGTTTAGTTGGAGATTCATTTAATGATGGGTTGGATAAAATGTGTTCGGTTTTTTTTTTTTTTTTTTTTTAAATAATACTATAAAAGCGTCAAGAGGATGCATTCTGTATACAAAAATATTACATGCCAGTCAAAAGTGTGCTTGGATTTACTTTGTTAAACATTTTTCTTAACATATAAATAGGAACTATAGATGGATTTAAAACATGAGTGGAATAAACCGTGTTCTTTTAGTTACATTCCGTTAGTCATATGATTTAGTTACGCAGGATAATCTACAAGATGATTTATATGAAATTCTTGATTAATACATATATATATTGAGAAAATTAAAATCAATCAAAATTATGGAAAGTTGCAAGCTTCTGACTTGTAAATTTTGTGAAGATAATATTTCGGCATGAGGATGGAAAGGCTCTTAAATCTAGAAAATCTTGAATCTTTCTTATACAAGAACCTCACATATTTGAAATTTTCTATAGAACAAGATGAGCAAGTAAAGGATAAAAAGTTGAATGCATTAGTGATAGCAAAAGTTTATGAAAGGGCAAGCAAGGATATTGCTCGGGGATAAAACAAGGATATTCTAATTGATTTGGGATTCTTCTATTTATAGATTTTTCATGCCAAATTGCTCTGTTGCTCCTTTGGTATCTATAAAATGTTCATATGTAGGAATGTATATATACATGTATACTTACATTAAGGACCGCTGGTGTTGTTAAGACAGCTGGGTGCTCTCTATACTAATTTTTTAGTTTTTTGTTAGCATCTTTTAACCGTTTTTATCTTGGCCAAAGGTCTTGTATCCATGTAAGATAGAAGAAAATTAGAAGATTTTTTCTCGTCACACAAATTTTCTCTCCTTGTTTTCTTCATGGTATCAGAGCCGCAACTCTGATCCAAAATTTTTCATCATCCGACTCAAGCCAAAATGGCCATGGATAAGCAAAACTCCTCTCACATTGATCATGTCTCGAGTTCCTTCAATCAAATACCTATCAACAATTCTCACATTGACTAGACACCTTCATTTGTCACTGGACACAGACTGAATGGGAGTAATTATCTTCAATGGTCTTCATTCGTTCTCATGTTCATCCGAGGGAAGAGCAGGGATGAATGACTTACGGGAGAAGCTTTTCAACTACCAACAGATGATCTAAGTGCTCGTTCATGGAAGGCCGAAAACAATCTGATAATGTCTTGATTAGTCAACTCAATGATGACAGAGATTGGAGAAAATTTTTTGCTGTATGAAATCGCACACGACATTTGGGTGGCCGCACGCGAGTTTTACTCCTACCGAGACAATACCTTTGCCACTTTCGAAATCGAGACTCAGCTGCACAACCTACGACATGGGGAGCTCACTATAACACAGTACGACAATGCACTCTCTCAACACTGGCAGCAACTCGATGTCTTCGAGGAACACCTGTGGAATTGTCTCGAAGACTCAAACTCTTCAAAACTTACACTAAACGTGAAAGAGTTTTCAAATTTTGATGGGACTCAACAAAAACTTGGATGAGGCTCGTGGTAGTTCTGGGTACAAAGCCCCTGCCGAATCTTAGAGAAGTTTTCTTTGAAGTACATCGAGAAGAGAGTAGAAAGAAGATCATGCTCGGTGATTTTTACTCTGGCACGAACCCGACGGACACAACTTCTGCTCTTGTTGCTCAGAGGAAGCAGTTGCTCAGTGAACCTTAGCCTAGTGCCCTAAATCACGAGCACGCCTCTGCTTTCGTCGGGTGTACTTCTGAAGCTGGAGGAGAGAAAGGGAGACCCTAGTGTGATTATTGTAAAAAACCGGGTCATATTAGGGATAAATACTGGAAATACATGGCAAGCCAGCAAATAGGAAAAATTACAAAAATGACACTCAGAACAACATGGTAATTTCAGAAGAATTATCCCCTGCAGCCAATACTATCGAGAGCTCTCCCTTCAGTCCAGCCCAATTAGAGGCCCTCATGCAAATGTTTTCTCAGAAGGGTATTCTTGGTAATGCTTCTGTTGCTCAGAGAGGTAATTGCTTACTCAGTTTATCTGCTTACTCTGTAAAAAAACAAATGTGGATTATTGATTCAGGAGCATCTGATCATATGACCGGAGGCATTACACTCCTTCATCGGTACAGTGAATGTAAGAAAATCTCATCCATTAGAATTACTAATGGAACAAGTTCTAGAGTTGTAGGAGTTGGCTCAACCACTATATCACTAAATTTGATATTGCAGTCCATCCTTTATGTGCTTAATCTAGACTGTAATCTATTATCTGTAAGCAAATTATGTAACGACTTGAATTGTATTGCTAAAATTTAGCAGTGACTCTTGTGTTTTTCAGGATTTTGACCACGTGAACGATAATTGGCATTGTTAAGGACTCAGAACTTTATCTTCTACCAGTCAAAATCTTATCTCCTAATAGATAAACTCGAAGTGCAGTATGTGCTAATTCAATATCTGTAAGATGTTCTAATATTGCCGAATCTATTATATTATGACATTATAGATTAGGACATCCAAACTATATGTACTTAAAACAACTATTTCCTACTTTATTTAGAAATAAAAATTTAATTTCATTTCAATATGAAATATGTCAATTCTCTAAACATACTCACAATTCATATCCCAGTATTGCTTACAAACCCTCAAAACTCTTTGCATTGATTCGTAGTGATGTCTGGGGACCGGCACGGGTAAAAAATATTACTGGCACAAAATGGTTTATCTCCTTTATTGATGATCACACTAGAATAACCTGAGTCTATCTGATGAAAGAAAAATCTGAGGTTGGCGAAATCTTTCAAAAATTCAACACTATGATTCAAACCCAATTTCAAACAAAAATACAAGTGTTGAAAATAGATAATGCATGTGAATATTTTGCATCCAACCTAAGCAAATTCCTTTCTTACCAAGGTATTGTCCATCAAAGTTCTTGTCTCTATACCCCTCAACAAAATGGTATGGCCGAAAGGAAAAATAGGCACATCCTTTAAGTATCCATCTCACTCATATTTACCACAAATATCCCTAAGTACCTTTGGGGAGAGGCTATCCTCACAGCCACATACCTAATCAACAGAATGCCCTCCCGTATCCTTAAGTTTAAAACACCTTATGATTCACTACTTCAAACCTTCCCAACATCGCACATCCTTCACACAATTCCGTTTAAAGTCTTTGGTTGTTCTGCCTATGTTCACATTCACAGTCATCTCAGAGGGAAACTTGATCCTATAACCCTCAAATATGTTTTTGTTGAGTATTCTAATTCTCAAAAAGGTTACAAATGTTTTTGTCCTGTAACCTGCCGGTTCTATAACACTATGAATGTTAACTTCTTTGAGAACCAACCTTTTTATCTCACTCTTGATATTCAGGGGGAGATATCTGAAACTCAGCAATATCAATTATGGGATGTAAATATTCCTCCTCTACAGACTCTATTGACAACTTTAGAAAAAGATCTTGTCCCTAAAACCACCAAAGAATTTGAACCTATCACAAAAACTGATAACACATTACTTGCAGTTAGTGCGCTACGTGTCTATATAAGAAGGAACAAAACTTAAGATAAAGATAAAGTACTTGAACTATTTATACTCTGTCATGACTCAACTCTTGAACCAAGCACCCAGAATAACACAGGTAATGAGATTTCTGACTCTACTGATGATATTGGTTTACCTATTGCATTACGAAAGAATGTTCTTTCTTGTACTATGCATCCCATACAAGATTATGTCTCTTATGGCAAGTTGTCTTCGAAGTATCATGTAATTGTGAGCAAGTTTGATAGCATCCCTCCTGAACCAAGAACAATTCATGAACCTCTCAAGATTCATGAATGGAATGCTGCTATCCAAGAAGAAATTTCAGCCCTTGAGAAAAATGGAACATGAGAATTATATGATCTACCTTCAGGGAAGGCTCCTGTTGGATGCAAGTGGATCTTCAAAACCAAGTACAATCCTGATAGTAGTGTAAACCGCTACAAAGCTCGACTTGTTGCTAAAGGGTTTATCCAATCATATGACATCGACTATCGAGAGACATTTGCTCTTGTTACCAAGCACAATACAAGTCGGGTATTATTCTCTTTAACATCTAATCTTGATTGACCTCCCTATCAACTTAATGTAAAAAATGCTTTCCTTAATGGTGACCTTACAGATGATCACAGTAAAGAAATTCAGAAACTGAAAGACTTTCTAGTTAGAGAATTTGAAATCAAAGACCTTGAGTTGCTCAAGTATTTCCTTGGAATGGAAATTGCCAGATCCAAGAAAGGAATTTCTATATCTCAACAGAAGTACATCTTATATTTCCTGAATAAAACAGGTATGCTTGGTTGTAAACCTGCTAAGATTCCTATGCAAACAAATACTAAACTTGGTTCCACAAGTAACAGTGAACCTATTGATAAAGAAATGTATCAAAAGCTTTTAAGCAAATTTATCTACTTGACTCATACAAGACCTAACATCTGCTTCACTGTTAGTATTGTAAGTCAGTTCATATCTCAACCTACAGAAAAACACTTGTGTGCTGTTTATCGTATTCTGAGGTATCTAAAGACGATACCTAGACAAAAATTATTCTTTCAGAAGAATATGGTCAGAAATATTGAGATCTATACTGATGTTAATTGGACTGGATTTGTGACAGACAGAAGATCCACATCTAGTTACTGCTCTTATATTTGGGGTAATTTAGTCACTTGGCGTAGCAAGAAGTAATCTGTTGTATCAAGAAGCAGCGATAAAGCTGAATTACGATCACTTACACATGGAATATGTGAGGGAATATGACTCAAAAAGATTCTACTAGAACTAAGATTTTCTGCTTCTATTGCAATGAAGATTTGGTATAACAATCAATCAACTATTAGCATAGTCAAGAATCATGTGCACCATGACAGAACTAAACATGTTGAGATTGATAGTCACTTCATCAAAGAAAAAATTGAAAATCCGAATGTGTCACTCCTATACATCCTGACTGGTCAACAAACAGCTGATATACTCACCAAGGCACTACCAAAAAAGGAGTTCAATAATCTTGTATCCAGTTTAGGGTTACTTAACATTTATGTAACTTAAATTGAGGGGGAGTGTAGAATGTTCATATGTAGGAATGTATATATACATGTATACTTACATTAGGGATAGCTGGTATTGTTAGGACAACTGGGTGCTCTCTCAACTAATTTTTTAGTTTTTTGTTAATATAATTTAACTATTTTTGTCTTGGCCAAAGGCCAATATATTTGGCACATTTTTACCCATCTAAGATAGAAGAAAATTAGAAGATTTTTCCTCGTCACACAAACTTTCTCTCCTTGTTTTCTTAAGTATCCATGATTTTAGAAACATTCTTGTTTTCACACCATAAATCTCAACTTTTGCAAGCATTCTTGTTTCTCATGATAATTCCAAAAGATTTGGGAAGTTAATGCCTCCCCTAGAGTGGCTTCTTTTTTGTGCCTGGAAACAAAGGGAAAGTGTACTTACCCTAGAGAACCTTATTAAAAGAGGGAAATCATTGTGAAAGGGTGTTATTTTCACAAGAGACCAGTGGCTTCTTTTTGTCTATGGACTATGCTGTATAGCCTTTTAGGACTGAGTTGTGGGAAGATAGGTTCTATAAAGGATGAGATACGAACTTGGTAAGGCATCAACCGTGATAAGTGCTACAAGACCATAGTTCTTATCCCCTTAGTTGGCTTATGAGTGATAAGGAAGGAAAGAAGTAGCAGAACATTTGAGGATATAGAAACTACTTTTAACAGGTTAAATATTTGTGGTCGCAAATGATGGGCTTTTTGATTATAAGGTAATCTTCTTTCTTCTTTTAAGGATATTGGGGAGCTTACTAGTATTTTGATAGCATTGTAAAGTTCTTTTGTACATAGGTTGCACTCCCTTGTTGCATATTCATATTCTACTCCTTTTTCCCCCCAAAAAATCCCAACTTTCACAAGCTTCAATTGTAAGGAAGAAAACTTCAATCTTCATATTCTTTCTATTTTGAAATTTCAAGAGGCCAAGTTTTCACCATGTGGTTGTGGAAAAAAGGGCCTGAAGTGGTATATGTTTAATAGTGAAAGATATTTATGCAATTGTAATGTTTATGTATTGTTAAGTTATTTAGCTTATTTACGAATTAATGCTTATAAGTTTATTACTACTGTGAGTTTAATATTTCATACTTAGTTCGGATCCTGTTTGGTTATTCTCTATTTTAGATTATCCCAAATTAACTAGCTTACTTTCCTATTAGTAGAATCTCTAGATATATTTAAGAATTCCTATTTTGATTGTATTCTGATACCTATAATAGCGTAACCTAGCTTGGTTTTTTGATAGACTGTTTCAATGAGTATTATACAAATATTGAGTTCTCGAATGATTATTAAGATTCCAAAACTCCAAATTTGGTTCTTCATAAATTTCTGCAAGTATTGTGTCCAAGTTCTCTGTGTACTACATATTTTAAAAAAAAGTTCTCATTGTACTACATTAGATAGCTTGGTTTAAGGTAATTTATGACAGGTTAAGTGCATATGGTGTATAATCTACAGCTTGATGGGGAGTATTATAGGTTAAGAAGATATTTCCTGCTTAGTTTTTTTCCTATTTAATTAGTTTCTAAAAAATTTCTCAATTCTCCAACGATTTTCATAGATTTACCCTATAAATATCCATATATATTTTCTACATAACACAAAACAAAGTTACAAGATTTATTTCGTCACTTACATCCTACTATGATATTACAGTTTCATTCCCTAGTTATGTTATTTCCAAATACATTGTAAAATGTCAAAATTTATCAAGATAAAACCAACACATAGAAAACAATTTGAGATGTAATATCAGGAATCAATTCTGAACAAACATTTGGAAATTATCAAGATAAAAAACAAGCTCATTTAAGAAGCATATAGTCAATATCCCCTTTTAAATGGACATTCGAAGATAAATTTAAAAATAAGTACCATACAACAAAAACAAATATAAGGTAAGTGCATTCAACCAGCTAAAACACTAAAATGTAAGAGACTTTCCTTTTCTCTAAGTTCAATATCTACTCAGTTGAAAAATTAAGGATCTATTTAATTCTCCCAAGCATATTACCTTAAACATGATGACACTAGCCAAAATCGTAAGTGATGTAAACATCACATAATATATAGGAGATACAACAGCCGTGTTGAATGTATCAAGAGCCTGCAAGTTAAAAAAAATTGCCAGGTTGATTTCCTTTAAGTTTCACAAAAACTAGAAGCATGAATTTAAATGCGCATACAAACATGCACAAACATCTTTATTCCTTCCCTATACTGTGTATAAAGTAATCCTCGAGTAACATATTGCGCTAATAAAGATAAAAAATAGAATGACCATTCTTGTGATCATTGAAATTTGTGTTGAAAATAGTGAAATTCGAAAGACTTCCAGCATCAAGGAACAGATTAGCCCAATGGTTATCTCTTGTCCTCTCTAGGAAGGGTCATATTCTACCATTGATTCATGCAAGAATTTACTCTACTAAAAGGGGGGAAAAAGAAAAAGAAGTTCTCTGCAAGAAGTCAACAACTCTCTTGAAGTGGCTTTGGAAATTTATGTATCTTGAATGATGCTTGTTGAAGGCCATTATTAGCCTTATACGAAGAGGACGGAAAACTGCTACAAATAGGGAAACCTATGCTACTAGTGTATGGAATTGGATCAGCAGGGGTTGGGATTGAGTGCTTAACTCGTGAATTTCAAGGTTGACAACAAGCATACATTTCTATACTTCTATTTTAAAAAAAAGGGTGGGCAAAAGTTGGTTTTTGGCATACGGTCTTCAGTATGGGCCAATTCCATTGAAAGAAAAATTCCAAAGGCTGTTTTATCTTGCTAGAGACAGACACTTCAATCGGGGACCTTGTAACACTCAATTACTCCTCCACTTTGTCCTGGAATATTTCTTTATCTTGCGACCAGTCGATTGGGAGATTATTCACCTGGCCGCCTTATTGCTTTGTTATTCTATAGCTTGATGCAGATGCGTTTGAAAAACCAATGT